TGTCCCCTTTCCCCCTCTTACTTCCCCACATCTCACAGGTTACTTGCCATCACACATGAGAAGGGCAAACTCTTAGACTTTCCTTTCAACTTAGTTTCTCTTGGTCTTTTGATTATGAAACCCTGTCTCATTTCCCTTTGTAACATCTAAAGTTAAAAATCCCAATCCAGACTGGGATTTCAAAATGTAGAATAGATAATCAAGATTATACTGTATAGTGCAGGGAAATATATATAAGATCTTGTGGTAGCTCACAGCGAAAAAAAAATGTGACAATGAATATATGTATGTTCATGTATAACTGAAGAATTGTGCTCTACACTGGAATTTGACACAACATTGTAAAATGACTATTACTCAATAAAAAAAAAATAGTAAAAAAAAAGTTGTTAAAAAAAAAAGGACAAATAAACCCCCACCATCACCAAGCTTGGGTTTGAATTTGGGTTCTCATGTAATATTTTGTAGGTTTGGGCTCATCGCTCTCTTGCTCAATCAAGCCTTCTCAATTTTCTCATGTACATGAGGAAGGGTGTGGTGCGGCGTGTGGTTCTCTGAGGACCTGACATTCCGTAATTTGGGGACCACTGAGTTTGATGCCTTCCCTGTAGGTTTCAGACTTTCCAGCTAGAACAGTTTTACTTTCTCATTCCCAACATCTGCTATTCCGATACATTGTAGAAATGGCATCCTGCGATATCCTGTATCGTGTCCCTGTCTTTAACAGCCGTATACCACATAGCAAGCCAAATAAGAAACAGTAGTTAAGAGTCATTCTGTCTGGGTTCAAATCCAATTTCACTACTTAATTAACAAATCACTTAACCTTTGTGTGCCTCAGTTTCCTCATCTGCAAAATAGGGTTAAAATTGACTGTCTAATTGCTTTACTGTACACCTGAAACAACATTGTAAGTCAACTCAATAAAAGATAACAATGGCAATAACAATAATAAAAACCACCTGCCTGGTACAGTTTTTAAGAGGATTCGCTGAATTCATGTTTGTAGAGCTCTTCTAACAGTTGCTAGCAGATAGTAAGTGCTATATAATGTTTGATTAAATAACCTGAAAATAGCAGTCAATCTAAATTCTAGGGCCCAAGTGAAAATGTGCAGAGGAATTTGTGGCTGGGAGCGAGGGGTGGTGGGGGGGCCATTTCATTAACCCAATAGTTACGGTGACCATATTTTCTAAATCAAAAAACAGGTCACTTTGTCTGCAAAATATTTGAGTTCCACTTTAGGCTTCAAGCCATACAGAAAACTATCAAAACTGGGTGTCATGGTGGGGAGGGCAGAGCTCCGTGGTAGAGCGCATGCTTAGCATGCGTGAGGTCCTGGGTTCAATCCCCAGTACTGCTGTTAAATAAACAAATAAATAAATAAACCTAGTTACCTCAAAAAAAAGACAAAAACAAAACAAAATTTAAAAAACCCTGGGTGTCATGACAGTGTTTTATAAGGACGCTGCAAGAGCATTTGGAACTGGAAATGAGCACTCTACATGTAGGTATCAGCACCCTCATATCTTTAAAAAGATCATTCAGTATCCTTTAAAGCACATAAGCCTCCAGTAGTTAAAAAATTCTGAATAGAATATCTATTTAGGTAATGACTGATACATCCCCACCGCGCCATCTCTCTCTGCTTTTAGACAGCAAACAGTCACTCCTTGGCGAATTCTCACACAACCAGGGTCCCCTAGAGTGAATGCCTTGATGGTGCACTCACTGCATTTGATTTCAGTGCATTGAAAGACAAAGTGGGAAAACTCTGTTGAAAGCCTGCTCCATGTCAGCCATTGTGTAATGATTCTCAGTTTTATTCAAGCCTCGAAACAATCTTTGGGGTAGGCATTACGATTTCCATTTTACAGCTGAGGAAACCGAGTGTGGTGGGCGCTTTTGAGTGTCCCTCTGGGCCTGACTGGCTTGAAAGTCTGGGCCCTCTCCCTTCTGCTCTCTGGCATGGTAAGTGAACGTCCCTGTGGTCCCTTTTCTGACCACTCACCACTATCAGCAAAGCAACCAGCTCACTGCCGACTCATTTCCTTGGCTGCTGTTTGCTCATTCATTCATTCATTCAGGGTGTGTGACCTTGAGGAAAAAACTGTTTCCTTTCTCCAGTTCTTCTTTTTCATTGGAAACTATCATATCAGCAAATTATTTTATAGTCAGTCTTTGAAGTGCAACAGAAAAAACTTTACTAGAGGAAGGAAATGATAAACCTAGCCTCTACCTGTGTGATGATTCCCAGATCTGTATCTTCTGTGAGCCCCAGCCCTGTGTACCCAGTAGACGACTGGACAGCTCCACTTAGATGTCTTAGAGGCTGCTTACCTTTAGCATCCATCAGCCAGCTGACAGCTGGGCAGTAGGGAGAGGAGAGATGACCATGAAGATTGAGGAAGCAGCACCTCCAGGAAGGCAGGCCCTGAATCAAGAAGGCACTTGATGTGTTTGAGGAAATAAAACAGTTCCAAATGGCTAGAATGAAGAGAGCAGTCGGGGAACGGATGGGGAATGAGGCTGGCGAGTCCAGGCAGGGGCCAGATCACAGTGTATGTGAGTGAGGGGCTGGGCAGAGTCAGGTCTGTCCTGGTCCCTCAGCTGCCATAAACTTGCTGAATGACACTGAGCAACCGATAAGTCTCCTGGGTCCTGTTTCCTCATCTGTGAAATGGGGCCAGCAGCACTACTGCACAGGGATGTGGAGAGGAGTAAAAGGGGACCCAAGAGTACGTGAACACATGACTGGCAGGGGGTGAGCATTCAGTAACATTTTCTTTCATTTTTCTTGGTGCCCTGTGACTTCACCTGTGAAATGGGGGTACTTTGACTCATTCTTGGAGTTTCTTCCAGCTCAAAATTACTATGTTTTTTTGTGAACTGGTCTCTCCTTTTTCCACCCATGCTTCTATCCATTGTGAGCGCCATTCCTGATGCTTCTTTCCTGTTCCTAATCCTAGGAAACATCACCTTTCCTGGGAGATATGGGAGCCATCTTTCTGCAGCCAGAGTGTGGCGGTTTAGCCCAGACTTCTTCTTTCTCCACCTCTCTCCCAACTCTCATCCGTTCATTCATTTATTCATTTACAAGACATTTCAAGGCTGCACTGTATGTGTGGATAGACTCTCACCCCTCAAGTCCTATCCCTTTTCATCCCTTTCAGGGGCTCTGGTTAAGTGGGAGAAAAAGTACATGATGAGCAAAACGACGGAAAGATGCCCGTGCCTTGAGGGCAGTCTTCCTTAACTGAGGAAGATGGGCTCTAAAAATCCTTGCAAATAGACAAATCGGGTGCACTTGCTTCTTATTTGAAATTACTGGACACAGTTGCCTACAATTGGTCTATTTCATGTTTTTGATTTTTCCTGTGCTCTTTCAATTACCCTGATTGCTACTAGACAAAAACTTCAATCAAGTTTTAATTTGTCTGTAATGTCTTCCTTTTAACAGCTGCTCTTCTGTCTTAACAAGAGAGTCAAGTCTGGAGCGCAATGTATTCAAGCCCATTTTGGGGTATCAAGAATATCCCAATCTAGTAGTGAGAGTAAATGTTTAACAACCGGATTGGTGTGGAGGAGGCGGGAGGCTCTGATTGGAGGCATTCGTCAGTTTCTTTGCTGTAAATACTCCCACTGTGGTAGATGGCAAGCTCTCAACCAGACTTCACTGAATGGAGTCTGGCAGAGATGCTAACAGCTGGTTCCAACACACTACTGCACCCAGTCCTTGAGTCCTGAATCTTCATCACACCCGATTTCCTTCCGAGTCATTCTGATTTCAATTAATGGCACCTCTCAGTCAGCCGAGAAAGAGGCCTGACAGTCACCATTTATGCCTCTCATCCAATCACTAAATCCTGTTGACTTTTTTCTCAGATGTTTCTTATGTCTGTTCACCTGTCTGGCCTCACCGCCAAGGTCTGGTGTCCCAGTCTGCTACTCGTTCATTGCTACTGCACTGACCTCTGTTCTGGTTTCTCTGCCTCCACCCTTGCTCCATCAGCAAGTGTCCACCCTGCAGACAAAGTCAACCTCTTGCAGCTGAAATGATGTCACGCCAGTCTTCTGTTAAGAACTTTCTGTGGCTTTCCCTTGCCTTTTGGATGAATTCCAAACCCTAATCACATCTTACTTGACTCCGTCCAGCCCCTCACTCACATACACTGTGATCGGGCCCCTGTCTGATTCGCCAGCCTCATTCCCCACCCATTCCCACCTTGCTCTCTTCCTTCCAGCCATTTGGAACTAACTGTTTTTATTTCCTCAAACACACCAAGCGCTTTCTTGATTCAGGGCCTGCCTTCTGGAGGTGCTGCTTCTCTATCCGCATGGTCATCTCTCCTCCCCGCCTTACCCAGCCGTCAGCTCGCTGACTCCTCTTATCTCTCAATGGTTTGTTGTCCTGTGTTGGTTCCAGCGTGATTTCCTAGGGAAGGCTGTTGACTGGGGGGCTCTCCTTGCCTGCTCAGTGTCTTCTCCTTGAGTCCTGGAGCAGTTCCTGTCTTGTTTGCTGCCATATTCCCAGTGTTGCCCATAGTACCAAGCACATAGTTGGTGCACTATAAATGTTGAATCTATTTCTTGGATTTTTGTGGGTCCCAATTCCCTATTAAATAGTAAACTCGGGCACAGTGGGTATAGCTGAGTGCTTAGCATACACGAGTTCCAGGGTTCAATCCCCAGTACCTCCATTAAAAAAATAATAATAATGAATAAGTAATGAATAAGTAAACCTAATTGCCTCAAAACAAACAAAACAAAACCCTCCCCCCCTAAAAAATATTAAAAAGAATAAACATACAGGGTCAAACATGTTCTACTTCCTGTATTTTTTGTCAGCAGTTTTTGAGCTAGTACAAAAAGTAGCTGGTGAGTAATTTTTACCACTAAATGTAATCTTTTTCCCCCCCAAAGGGGCATCTTGGAAGATAGTTTTCTATTTTCTATAAAGTCATGTTATTCTTCCTAACCAATTTCTTTTTCCCTCCTAGATTTCACCAGCTGTAACTCTCAACCAATATTTGGAGCTCTGAACGGGAACGTAACTTTACGTGCATCACCCTCTAAACCCACTATGGATATCGTATGGAAAAAAGGAAAGGATAAAGTTGTAGAACTGGATGATCAATTTGGTGTCAAAGCCTTCCCACCTTTTGAAGGCAGAGTTCATTTAGACAACGTGTCGGGTAGCCTCAGCATCTTCAACTTAAAAGTATCAGATGAAGATGAGTATGAAATTGAGTCGCCAAGTATTAAAAATAATAGCAAGTACACCCTCAAAGTGATTGGTGAGTATTCCATAAATTGGCTTGTTCAGACGGCAAGTTTCCAACTCTTTTAAAAGACTAGCACAAATCAGTGGTCTATGAGAGTTAAAAGAATGAGTAATCATCTGTTGTTGGGGTTTTCCTCTCTTCCTGGTACCCAGGAGCCACTTTCAATTCCCTTGTTCTCCTCTGGGTGAGGAGAGGATGTGAATGATGTAGGCAGAACAGCATAAGTTGGGCACAGCGGCTGGTAGCAGCACCATTTGTCTTGCTGGGAATATTCTAGAAGGGGATGCAGTGGCAGCCATGAGCTCAGAACTCTTTGAACTCCATTGCTGGTTGGTGCTGTCTCAGTTGGAGTGCCTGCTTGCTCCTGAAACCCACACAAGAAGTGTTTTTTTTTTTTTCCTCCTCCATCACTTTAAACTGAAACTAGAGAAAGGATACAGGTTCCTCCGTGCTTCTCACTGGTGCGTCCGGCTTAGTCTCCTTCCGTCACCTCCAAACCTCTTTCCTTGTTGCAGTGATCCAGAGGCTGATGGCTACACCCCAGGGTTTCTTTATTTTTATTTTTTCCAGTTTTATTGAAAAACAATTGGCATCCATCACTGTGTAAGTTTAAGGCATACAGCATGGTGGTTTGATTTACATGTATTGTGAAATGATTATCACAATAGGTTCAGCTAACATCCATCTTCTCACAGAGATAACAATAAAAAAAAAGGAGAAAGAAGAAAAGAAAAGAAGGAAAAAGAAGTTTTTCCCTATGACGAGAACTCTTATTAGTGTCTTCACTCTTAACAACTTACCAATATGAGAAACAGCTGTGTTAGCTGCGGTCCTCACACTGTACATGATAACCCTAGTGCTTATCTGTATTGAACTGGAAGTTTATACCTTTTGGACCACTTTCCTCCAAGCTCCCCTTCTCCCACCTTCTGCCTCTGGTAGTCACAAGTCTGATCTCTTTTTTCTGTGAGTTTGGCTTTTTTCTTTTTAGATTCCACCTGTGAGATCATACAGTATTTATCATTCTCAGTCTGACTTTTTTCAATAAGCATAATGTTGTTCACTTAGCCTCTTTCTCGACCACTCAGCAGCTTTTGACACGCTAATTACTCCTTCCCCTTTGAAACACTGCCTTCACCTGGCATTCAGGACACCACCCTATTCTGGTTTCCTTTTAACTCACTAACCGTCTCTTCTCAGTTTCCTTTGCTGTTTCCTGCATCCTCTTAACATTCCCCCAACCTCTTCACACTGGAGACGCTTCCCTTCTCTGTCTGCATTCACACCCAAGTGGGTGGGCTCATCACATGTCAGGGCTTTAAATATCATCTCAGTGCTAATAATGCACAGATCTAGAGCTCTAACCCAGACCTTCACCGAGCTCCTTCTGTGCTTTCCTGTCTACTCTGTCTCCATTCAGATAGCTAACTGGCCTCTCAAATACCACATGTCCCAAAATGAGCTCATGATCTTTCCCTTAAAACCCGTTCCTTCTGAAGTCTTCCCCCTCTTGGTTAATGGCGGCTCCATCCTTGCAGTTGCTCAGGCTAGGACCTTGATTTCGTCCTTGACACCATATTCCCTCCACCAGGAAACTGTGTTAGTTCTCCCTTCAAAATATAACCAGAACGTGACCACCTCTCATCGCTTCGTCTGGTGCTGATCCAGGACTGCTGCATTCCCCTTTGGAGGATCGTGGTAGCTTCCAAGTTGGTCTCCCAGCTCCTACCTTTGTCCCCTACGCTTTAATTTTAAACACAGAAGCCAGAGTGATCTTCTTAAAACAGATATCAGATCATGTCACTCATTTGCTTAGAACTTTCTAGTGGCCCCATCTCACTCTACATTAAAGCTAAAATCTTCACAGTGGCCTACAAGGCTGTATGAGATCTGGTCCCTGCGACGTGGCATCCCCGCCCCCTGCCTCCTTGCTGTTCTCAAATGTCCTGGTAATGCTCTTGCCTCATAGCTGCCTTCTCTGTGCTGCCACCCAGCATTCACAACTCAGCCTGTACCCATCTCTCACCTCTACTGGGTCATAGTTTCACTTATTTTATCCTAGAAGTGGATGTAGTTCTAGGCCGACTTCCTCTACGTGAAAGGGTGCTTTAGGAAGATTCAACTGGCGGCAAAGTGCGTAAGATGGTTTCAGGAGGTGGAGCAGGACAGAGTCCAATATGGCAGTTCAAATCTGAGCTTTCCATGTCCTGTTTGAGCCACTGTATTTGATACTGGAGCAGACTAGTGCCTTGGAAGGTTAATCAAGTAGTAGGTATTTACAGTGGATTCGAGAGAGGAGGTGCTAGATTAGAAGCTACTGTAATCATCCAGGTAGACAGGGGTGTTGGTAGCAAATGTTTGGAAAGGAAAGAATCAGAAGATAACTTCCAAGAAAGTCAGTAAGATACAGCTTTTGGTTATAAAAATATATAAAATGACTCAAGAGTCCACATTTGAATGTCAAAGTCATTAGTCATACTTCTTCCTCTTCTTCTTTTTCTTCTTTATTTTTTTTAAGAAATGAGTAAGTCACACTTCCTTGAGGGTATGTTAAGACTAAAGTAATAAGACTGATAATCTTCCGGAGACACCAGACCCTTTCAGAAAGGATATTTTAGACAAGGGGCTTTCCTGGCACCTCCTAAGCTTGGGGCATCTACATCCTTCTGTATAAGTGAACATCTGGCTTTCCTCCTTCCCTGAAAGTCCCCTGAAAATTTCTACCATCAACGTTTAATGGCCCCATCCTCTTACCACTTTTATTGTGTGGAGGATGGTAATGTTTATGGGAGTGGAACTAACTGCCCTGCCCTCACATGACCGGGGCTGGCATGTGACTTTGGATTAAAGTTTATGGAAATATGCAAATGTCATCAGATATGTATAAGAAATCCTCATTTCTTACAGGGAAGTGAGCTGACTTCATTAATTATAAATTGACTGACTTGTCTCAGGGATGAGGTGGGCACATTTCTTGCCAGCTGCTGAAGGCAGACATGCACCTAATACTCGTTAGCTATGGCTGTGTTCAGTCCCGTGGGCAGCGAGAGAATATGAAGATTGCAGACGGAAAGATCTGAGGTGCAGAAGCTCTGAGCCAGATGCCACAGAAAGGTTTGCCTGCTTTTCGGTGAACAGGATAGGTACTTCCAGGGTTGCTCCCTGACGACAGTGCTGTAGCAAAACCATCGGAAAGAGCTTCTGTACAGTTCATGGGGCTCTAACAACATGGAAGATAATTCTAGTACATCCACACGTTTCCCTTCCCAGGGTGTCCACATTCCACTTGACCTTTACAATGACCTCATAAAGTCCTGCACTCCCTTTGGCAGAGGAAAGTGAGGCAAATTTATCAATGGGTTTCTCCATCCAGGCCTGGGCTGGGTGAGTTCTTAAAAGTCAAACAGCTCCTACAAAGAGCTGAGGTTTGAAATCGCCCAGCAAGCCGGGGCACGAGCTCACGCCTCCCAGCCTCTGGTCAGTGACTCTTCCTGTGATATCGGACACCCTTTGGGGAGCCTCGCCCTGCAAGCCCTGGGCTCCATTACAGCGAGCATTGTGGAGCACTTATGCTGTGCCAGGAGCTGCCTGCGAGTTCGTGCATGAATTATTATCTGTGTCAACTCATTTCATCTGCATCAGTCACATAGGTAGATCCTGTTTGTCTCCTTATTGCACAGGAAAGTTAGGCCAGGTGCAGGGCGATTCGATAACTTGCACAAGGTCAAGTGGCTCTTGGTAGAGCTGGAATATGCACCCAGGCAGTCAGGCTCCTGAGTCCATGCCCTTAGCCACCATTTCATTCCTTTTTGGAGGTGAACTGATTGAAGAATTTACATTTTATAGAGTGGAGACAGTAATTTGAAGATTGTCTCCCAGAGTATATCCATCTGTCCGTCCATCCCTCCATATATCCAACATCGGTTCTCTTTGCTAAGGAGCCAATATGTGTCTTATATTATGTCGGGTTCTGGGGTTAAGACGTGAATAATGCCTAATCTTGACCCTCCGAAGATGCATATCTGAGGGCCTCGTGGTGCACCTCTGTCCAGTTTAGAAAGTGTTTGATGAAACCTTAGACACGGGCTGAACTAGATCATAAATTAGAATCTGCAACAACACGCAGAGCACCCATGTCAGGGTCACGTGGGGTGGGGCACGGGACAGGAATCTGCATTTTAACACACACCCTGGGGGATCCTTACTCGCGTGAATAGTTAAGGGGAATGTGTCCAGGGAAGCACGAAATTCGGTTTCCTGCCCCCGAGAAGTGCCCAGCCTGGCTGCAGACATAGACAGAAGTACAAGCAGTACCTAGAACAGGTTTTTCTCAGCTCTGCTGGAGACCCGTGTGGCTCCTTGGAAGTGCCTGGGGCTGCGGTGGCCATGTGGTGTGCAGGGTGGGCCTGAGGGAAGAGGACTCTGGGCCCTAATTTTGAACCCACTAGAGCAACTTCTTATCCTTCTGAAGAATATTGGTCTATGCTTAAGATTTAATTTAGAGAAAGGTTTCTACTGCTTAAAAAGAAGATTAAAAATTATTTTTTATTTCCATTTTTTATTGTGGTAAAATATACTTAACATTGAACCTACCATTTTAACCATTTGCAAGTTTACTTGTTCTGTGGCATTAAATACATTCACGTTATTGTGCAACCATCACCACCATCCATCTCCAAAACTTTCCATCTTCTGAACTGAAACTCTGTACCCATCAAACACTAACTTCCCATTACCCTGTCCCCCCGTTCCCTGGCAACCACCGTTCTATTTTCTGTCTCCAAGAACTGGAATGCTCTAAGAACCCTGTATCAGTGGAATCATACAAGACTTGTCCTTTTGTGATTGGCTTATTTCACTTGGTATGATGTCTTCAAGGTTCGTCCACGTTGTAGCACGTGTCTGAATGTCTTCTCTTTGAAGGCCAAGTACAAATGTGATTTCGAATTATCCCTGATTAGGATTATCTGTGGTTTTCCAGGAGCCCATGGGTTTCTGAAGTGATTATTAGAAGAGGCTGCAACTTGCTACTTGAGCACTGGGTTCAGCTGTCATTTCTGCTCAGGACTTGTTCTTGGCCAAATCATGAAGCATGGCTCCTGGGTCTTCCAAGCGTCCCCTCACCTTCTTTATCCCTTTTCTCTTGAACACGAGTCTTAGTGGTGCTTGTCATGACTCACCACTTGTCACCCTGCTTACTGATAGCAGGTGGTCTGCAGTGAATATGCTCTTGTGTGTGTGTGTGTGTGTGTGTGTGTGTCTAAGAGTTCCTTTAACAAAGAAAAAACTTTAAGGTCTCACATAACAAATTATGTGAGCTAGATTAAACCTCAAACTGAGGAAGCCCTAAGCAGAAAGAGAAGTCATGTGCGGCTCAGGTTTCTAACAAGGCAGGCTGGGGTGTTACTTCACTGAGTGAGAAAAAATTCAAGTTCCTGCTGAATAGCACAGGGAACTATGTTCAATATCTTGTAATAACCTTTAATGAAAAAAATATGAAAATGAATATATGTATGTATGTGCATGGCTGGGACATTGTGCTGTGCACCAGAAATTGACACATTATAACTGACTGTACTTCAATTAAAAAAAAAGAATTCGGAGGACAAAATAGAGGCAAATTGAGTTGAACACCTATATTTTTTAGGTTATTCATTGGAGCTTAAGTGTTCCTTTGTCTTAGAAAATAAATGTCATTTTAAATGACAGCATAGTATCCCATCATCTTGATGAACTTTAATTTGCTTTTTAGTAGATGTTTACACTGTATTGAACTTTTATTATCCAAACACTGCCATGACAA